CCTCACAGTTGTCAAGTTATTCTTTGTTGTCTCCATTTAGTGGTTTCCCTTAAGCAAGACAACAAGTGGACACTTGCATTTGAAGTTGGAGTGGCTTTCGTTAGTAAATGACCAAGAAAAGCTACATGAGGTGAGTAAATTTACTTAAGGCATTCAGGTACTCTGTTTTCTGTATATTCATTAAGAAGTGTGAAACTAGGAACCCGAAATAAACTCCTTGTGGGGTATTTTTGGAGGTGTTTTATTCTGTTTGTTTGTTTTGTTTTGGCAGAGTTTTGTTTGTGAGGTTTTAGAGGTGGTGGGTGATTTTATTTTATTTATTTATTTATAACTGGGGATGGGGAGGCCCTTCCCAAAGAGGAAGGTGTGTACTTGTCCCACGTCACTTGGTAATCCAGGAATAACTGAGATCTGGCAGCTCTTTTTACTTAAATTAACACTTTTTTTTGACTCACTGCTGTGACAAATGTCCTCACATATTTCCCTTCCCTATTTCTTCCTTTCCCTTTTTTTCTACACTCTGCATAGTCCCCATGCATCTGTACATCCCAGCTAGCCATAAACACTCAACAGTGATGCTTGGTGGCACCGTGGCTATTCTCTTACCAGGATTGCTTGGATCTGTCTCCCAAAGATGCTACCTCTCCATCATCGCTCAAAAGTCTTTATGTTCCACCAAAATAAATAAAACAGAGGATTGAACTGGGGTTCTTAATGATCTGCTTAAACGAGTCAAACTGTTGTGTATTGGCTTGTGCCCCTCTCGGTCGCAGGTTTTAGGAGAAGGCTGAAGAGCTGCCCACCTTTCAGGACGTGTTCCCTGAATTCGCATTGGCCTTTGGTTTGTCCCTGATGAATGACCCTGCCTGTCTTGTGTTTTGCTTTGTTTTACTCTTTGCTGGTTTTCATAGGATAAGAAGGGTCTTTCCACGGCAATTCTGATAGTCTACTTGGACAATGCTTTCAACCTTCCAGTAAGTATGAGCCACATGCAGCACTCCTAACTTTTTTTTTCTCTCTCTTTTTTTTTAAGCAAATTAATTCTTTTAAAATATTCTTTTGCCAATCAGAAAAACCAGTTTGAGTACTCAAATGGTGAATATGGAGCAAAGAAGCTGAAAACTAACAAGTATCTGAAGGTAAAGATTATATTTTTCCCATTCCTGCAAAACCACATGCTGAATTATACTGTGTTGTAACAACTGGACCTAGCTGTTTTCAAAGGGAGATTATTTCTTTGCACTGGCTCAAGATGTTATTTGGAAGTCTTCCCTAGTGAAAGTCAAAGAGGTCTGAGAGGAAATGCATCAGTAAAATATTTGGTTGCATGTGGGGTCATTTTGTCCTGCCGCCCTTCCTGCTGCTGCAGCGGCTGCTCCTCTGCTGAGCTGTGTCCTGGCTTGATGGAGAGGGACAAACTCTCCGCTCCATTGCAGAATGACCCCACAATTCCTTCTCCCACATTTTTGGCAGAGCTCTGGAGTCTCCTGCTGTTCACGCCTCTCCCCTCTTTGCTTCAGGTTGCCTTTTTCCCCAAATACTGTAGGGGAGAAAGTGTTTCCCCTGTTTCATTGAACAAGCTACAGGAGCCACAGCTCTGAGCAGTGAGATAGAGCTTTGCTGTTACCTGAGCATCTGACCACCAAAATGCAGTCTTTAAAGTTTAAATGAGATACGGTGTGATCTACACAGCATTCAGTACTCCTTCATTCTGCACTTCACTGAGTGCAGTTCTTTGTGCTACCCCCAGACCAAGTCCTCAGCCTTTGCATGGATGATTTTGACATGATGCTAATACCCTTTTGGGAAGGGGGAAGGAAAGGGTGTCCTAGGGCTTCTCTCTATCATTTCCTCCCCCTGCCAGATGGATACTGTAACATTAGGATGAAAGAGAAGAGCTTGGCACAAGAGGTTCAGTATTATTTCTTCTAGACAAAAAAACCTTACACCAGTGCCAGCAACTTGCTTATAGCTGCTTTACAGTGAGTTGTAAGCCCAGGAAACCATTTCTGCATCAGGAAATGATGAAGATTCCCCAGTGCCCACACCAGTGAGAAGACTGGTGTCCTATCACCCCATGGTGATAAAAACAGCTGCTTATCCATTTATACCTAAAGGCATAAAGATCTGGCTTAAATGTGAGCTCTTGGTGTGGAGAGTAAGAGTACACTGGGTTATGGCTGGAATCTTTCCTGTATACTGGCCTGTTAGTTCAGGTGTCCAGAGTTTGAAAACCTAATGAAAATAATGTCCAGGAAAGAGCTTCAAATAACTGTAGTGGTTTGTAACTGCTGCCTGTAAATTTATGAATGTCTCTTTTCCCCCCTCCCCGCCCTTGTATTAAATGGCAGAAGATGGAGCGAGAGCCTTCCTCCTTCGTCCTGCTCACTGTAGGGAACACGACTCAGAAAAGCAAGGTGAGGCTGCTTGACTCTTCAGCTTTCCTAAGTGCTGCCAGTTTGGAGGGCAGCTAATGCCAAGGTGCCCCTTGGGAAGGTCAGGATGGGCGCAGGTGACACGTGGTGCTGCCACTCAGGTGACCGCACTGAAACTTGCTGTTTTTCCTTCATTTCCTCATCTTCTCCAACCAGAAATTGGGTTCTGTGTGAATTTTTACCTTTCTTGGCTTTTCCCCGCATCGCATCCCCTGCTTTTCTCAGGCTGGGCCCCCTTTCCAGCCTTCCAGAGCTGTGGGTCGCTCAACGCTGCTACGCCTGCGCCCGGGCAGTGTCCTGGTCCCGGCACCGCTCGCCCGGCTCCTCCTTCAGCATTTCCACCCTCAGCACTAGCTCTGTCCCTGCCAGGAGGCCGGGCTCCTGCACACGCCTTCCCAGGGAATTCCCTCCTCTCCCCAGGCCGGGATGTAGCATCACCTGGGTAAAATGGGAGGGTGGCTGCAGCCCTCCCCGGTGCCTGGGGGTGTTTGTGCTCGCAGCGTTGCTGACATTTGTGCCACAACCTTCTTGTTGCAGACCTGCAACTTCAACAAAGACCCCACGTGGGGCCAGGCTTTCACCTTCTTTGTGCACAGCGCTCAGTCCCAGTCCCTGCACGTCGAGGTGAGCGAAGGGCCTTTCTTGGAAACACTTAATGTATGTTTGTTGGGAGAAATCTCCTTTAGGATGGTGTAATCTCAGTGCTGGTCACTTGTGCATGCTTTTACTGGGGCCCATGTTTGAAATGATCCTGCTAGAAAGGTGGAGGAAACATCATGTTGCACAGGCAAATCCATGTTAGAAGATGCTGGCACCTCCCTCACTGTAGGGATCCTGTGCTGCTTAATGTCTTGGTACAAAGTATGGGACATTTCTGGCTGCAAAGGAGGCTTTTGGCAGGCAGGAGCGCTGCAAGCCCTGCATGTTGCAGCCTTCTGCAGTCCTCAGCGGGAGTCCTGGCTCCCAACCCTGGTACCCTGCCTGCTCCGATGTCCCGTGTCTCGCTGTCGTCACCGCAGTCACAGCCAGGGCTGGGGCTGCTCCCGGCGCTGTGGGAGCAGATTTGAGCCTCAAAGGTCTATTGAGGCTAGAAAGGCCGAAACAGCTGTGACTATAAAAACCTCACAAAAGGGTAGACCAGGCACCATCCCAGCTGCATCCAGAGTTGAAGATGCTTTCTCCAGAACAAGTAAGGAAACTCAAGTTGATCTAGGACCTCAGTTTTCTGTTAATGAAGATACTTCTATGCGTATCTAGAGATTTTGGTTTTTTGTTTGTTTGTTTTTTTGCTTGTTTGTTTTCTCCAAGCATACTAATCTGTTCCTTTTATAAAATGCTGATGTGGTCTATTTGAAGTAAATAAGCTGATTTTGGTCTCTGTCTCAAGTACCTTTATTTACTGTGTACTTACCAATTGGCTATATAATAAAAATATATATATATACACATATTCTTTTTAGGTAAAAGACAAAGATCGGGATAGCATCCTGGGAACTTCAGTGGTGTCTCTGTCCCACCTACTGAAGGACCCAAACCTGACCCTGGACCAGAGATTCCAGCTGGATCATTCCAGTTCAGACAGCTTCATTAAGATGAAACTTGTGTTGCGAGTAAGTTGTTTTCCGAAATTGTTTTCCATATTCACTTCGCTTTTCCAGTGGAAACTGCCAGTTGTAGCTGGGCAAAAAGGAAGCAGGGAGAAGGAGAAGGAGGGCAGTTTTGCCTCACAGGTGAAGAGTGAAAGCGCGGAAGGATCCCGAGCGGAAGGATCCCGTGCGGAAGGATCCTGGAGTGGGAGCGGCGGGGGCAGCGTCCCCGGAGGCTTCCCGAGCGCAGAACGGTGCCAGCGCTGCAGTCCCGCGGGGACGGCGCCGAGCGGAGCTGAGCTGGGGGCACCCTGACCCACGTGGCAGCCAGAGACGGTAGCGCTGCCTTCTCTAACGCAGTGTTCCTGGTCTTTAGGCCCTGAGCTTGGAGGAACCTGATGCGCAGAGGGTGAAGGG